CTTTTTAAAAAAAAAAAAAAAAAAAAAAAAAAAAAGAAGTCCAGGGGGGTTAAGATGTGTTGTGAATGTGTACCAACTCCCCATGGTGAGTTTAATAATTGTGTAGTGCAAATATGTTCTAATAAAAAACAAAATTTTTCTGAATTGTATAAAAAATTAATTCCCCGGACATTGAAAAAACAAGTTCATTGATTCTTCTCTGAAGGATCTCCCAAGAATTTCTGCAGTTCAAAGCTAATTCTTAAGGAGAATTTCAAAGTCTTTCACTCCCATTTGGCTTCATTCCGGTCTCACTTCCTGCCCCCACCCCAGCCAACGAACTTGGTTCTGGCAACCCACTCTTGACAATTTACAGAAGCACTCGATGACTTTTCACTCTCTCTGCTTTATCTCTGCTCTGCCCAACACAGTGATTTTTTTCCCCCCGCTTTATATTTTGGATCTCAGGTTCAGAGGTTTGAGTTGTCCACAGTTCACAGTTCCGGCATACTCTTCTAAGTGGCCCTTCCGAAGTTCTTCCCTTTTATTTATGTATTTCATTGATCCCCAATCCCACTTCACCTATGCCACAGCCTTAATATCTCTGCTTTTTAAGAAGCTCCTGTATATTGTTTTGTATATTTTAAACTTACATAAATGGTGTTGTGTAATAGATCTTACTGGGTTTCTTACTTTTTTGTAAACTGTGGCTGTGTTGCTAAGCTATTGTTTCTGAGCGCTGCATTTTTCTCCCTGGTCTGTATGCAGCACATTTTACATTCCTACTCCTAGTGGACGCTTGATGTTTTACACCAGATTCCCTGGACAAGGCCATTGTTTCATCATCACCTCACAGGGCAGCTCTCAATGCTGTCAGACTCAGCAGTTCCTCCTAAGTAACAAGTGTTCCCTTCATTATTCTGAAATAAAATTCACAGATAATGTAAGATACTATGGTAGGTTATAGCCCCTACTGATTTCCCGATACCCACCACTTACAGGGGATCGAACTCAGGACCTTGCACTTGCCAGGCAGGTATGGTGCCACTGAGCTACACTCCTGGCTCCATTCTGATATTTTTGTCTTTGTGTGATTCCCTCTTCAATGTGGGCTACACTTCTTGACTTACTTCTAGTGAACAGAACAGGGGAGACATGATGAGAACCCGCATCTAAAATTAGGTTCCAAAAACACTGTGGCTTCTGTCTTCCAAGTATTGTTTTGGGCTCTCTTGCTTGTCCGCTCTGACAGGAGCTCCTTCCTGTGTTGTGAGTTGCCCTAGAGAAAGGACTACATAGGAAGGAATTGAGGGAGGCTTCTGGGAAACCTAAAGAAGCTGAATCCTGCTGGCAAACACAAGTGATTCTGGCTTGCCATCAACTCTTCAGTTAGGATTGCAGCCCAAGCCAGCATTCGAACTGCAACATGAGGGACCTTCTGGGTGCCAGAAGCACCCAGTTAAACTGCACTCAGGTTCGCAACCCACAGAAACTATGTGATAAAATGAAAACAATTCTTCATTGTGTTTATAATGGGGATTGAACTCAAGGACCTACACATTCTCGGCAAGCACTCTACCACTAAGCCACATGCCCAGTCATTTTTTATATTTTATTCTGGTAATACTGCATTACAAATAGCTAAATTAGGTAGAGATTGATAGGTAGTTATAAAGGGACTGAGCTCAAATAGAGTCAGAACAGAGATGAGGCAAATCAGGCCTGTGGTCAAGTGCCGAGTTAACAGAAACTAAATTGAAGATGGAGACTCCATGGCCATGCCTGAGATAAACAACAGCTCAAAGTTGTACTGTAACTAACACCACCCAGGCCAATAAACCTGAACACTATAATGAAAACATAGAAACAATGCTATAATGAACATGTAGACAGATGATCAGAACATGCTGACCCTTGTATTCCTTCCAGAAATGCCTTTATTCTTCTCCGTGCTTTATATTGTTGCTAAGTACCTTGTTTTTCTATTAAGTCAATATTAGCTAAGTATCTGTATTTGTAATTCTATAGGTTGATTGTAGTTTGTAACTTTCGATGTGATTTTACTGTACAAAAAACCCTCTAGAGGGCTGGGGATTTATCTCAGTGGTTCCAGCACTTGCCTTGAAAGCACAAGGGCCCGAGTTTGATCCCTGATACCAAAAAAACAAACGCACTAGAAGCTGGGCATAGTGATGCACATCTATAATCGCAGCACTTGGGAGGCTGAGGCAGGAAGATCTCTATGAGTTTGAGATCAGCCTGAGCTACACAGTGAGTTGAAGGCCAGTCTGAACTACAAGCAAGACCCTATCTCAAAATACCAATAAAAAAAAAATAATTTAAAAGCCTCCTAGACAAAGAGCCTCCAGTGGCAACCTCTCAGGAGCTGTTTAATAAAATCTCCTACTCTTAACCTCCTTTATCCTGACTCCATTCTTCAGTGTCCTGAGACATGAACTCAGTACATTTAACAGATTGGGAGTTACTTCCCTATAACAGGCTTTTATTAAATTACTAGGCTGTTTTTTTGTTTGTTTTTGAGACAGGGTCTCACTATGTTGTTGAGACTGACCTGGAACTCACTATGTAGCCCAAGCTGGTCTTGAACTCACAGCGATCCTCCTGCCTCAGCCTCCTGAGTGCTGGGATTACAGGTGTGTGCCACCATACCCGGCCCACTAGGCTGTTTTAAAACTTGTGATTCTCCTGCCATAGCCTCCTAAGTACCTGAGATTACAAGCCTGTGCCACCAGGCCATGCAAAATGTTTAAATCACTGAATCACCCAGCAATAACTAATACATATGTCTACTAACATAATTTGTAAAAAGTGTGTCTTAGGCATTATATAAAGATAAAATGAAAACAATGACAGGGGGAGGACTGGGGATGTAGCTCAGCAGTAGCATGCTTGTTTGAGATCCTGAGTTCAAGTGCCAGAACCGCTGCCATCACCACCACCACCAAAAAAAAAAAAAAAAAAAAAAAAAAAACGAAGACAGTGTTTATAATACTGTGTTGTGATATGTAAATGCTCAGGCCTGACTACACTAAGGGGTAGGATGATTTTAGATTCTTCCAAGTACATGCAGAATCACCTTAATCCAGGAGTTACAAATACAGACTGATTTGGATGAGTTTGGCTTTTTTTTTTTTTTATTCAGACAGTGTCTCACTATGTAGTTGAGACTGACCTGGAGCTCACTACTAGTCCAGGCTGGTTTTGAACTCTCAGCGATCTTCTTGCCTCAGCGTCCCGAGTGCTGGGATTATAGGCGTGCCCCACCACGCCCGGCTGAGTTTGACTATTAAAATTATCACAAACGATGTTACCCCTGTGACTTCCTAAAATGCCCTAAAACTCTTAGCAAATCCAAACAACAAAGTACAATGTACTAACAATTTTTGAGTAGTAGTAACTGTCGCGAACCGGCGACGCAGATCACTGTCCCGCAGTGCCTCAAACCTGAAAGAGCAGCGGGGTGGAGATGGGGCAGAGAGAAAGGAAGGACGCCAAGACAAGAGTCTGATCAAGGCGACGTTTATTGCAGGCAGGCATCAGCCTTTTAAAGGAAAAGACCGAACTATTATGGGCTAGGATTACCATAGTAACCCCAATACCTCAGATCTTTAACATAACAAAATGGAGTTAACAACACCTGACTCCTACAGATCTTTGGCTGTCCGTGTTTCTCCCGTGCAGGGTCAAAACAAGTTTAACACGTGCAGTCCCTTAAAAAGGAACAAATGTTGTCTTTCAAAAAGCCAGTGGGCCATGGCTGGCTTCCCACAAGTAACATCCTAGAAAAAGTCAATGAATGTACATTTAAAACGTGGAGAAAAGCTGTGTTGAATGTTAACTACAAAGATAAATTCTAGTTTTTATTTTGTTTGGTTTGTTTGTACCGGGGATCGAATCCTTGAGCTGGCGAGGCAGGCGGCGGAATCACTGAACTAAGCCCACAGCCCTAGATTCTAGTTTTGATAATCATCTTTCTCACTCATTGAATGTCATTCTAACTTTTTATGGTGAGGCACCATCTCCCCACCCACCCCCGTCCCCGGCCCCGCCCCGGGAATTGAATCCAGGACTTTCATACTGAGCTACATCCTCAGCCCTTTTTATTTTTGAGACAAGATCTCACCAAGTCTAAATTGCCCAGGTTGGGCTCAAACCTAAAATCCTCCAGCCTTTAGGCTCCCAGAGTGCTGCGATTACAGGCGTGTGCAACTACACCAGGCTTCACCTCTTACATTGTAGGGCATTCACACACTATCACTAGTCTTCTAATGCCCACGGCTTTCTAAAGATGATGTTCCAACCAAACCTACCTTCCTCACAAAATTTTAAATTCTATCCGTCTAGGCAAAAGGTCTGAGTGAGACCTAAAAAGGAGATACATGCCGCCTGGCCCCTGGGGTGTTTTTCTTTGTAACTTTTACTCCCTCATTTGGAATACCAAGGAAAGGGCTCAGACTCCTTCTCCTGGGACTGTTAGATTTCAACTGCTCAGAGGGAAGAACGCTCTCCAGTTGCGCAGGCGCGGCCCGATCTGTCTCCGCCCCGCCCAGCCCCGCCCAGCCCCGCCCAGCCCCACACGTCACCGGAAGTGACACGCAGAAGTAGTAGAAAAATCAGCTGGCTGCAAATTGGTCGAACCCTGGGTTTTTGCTGGCAGGTGAGATGGCAGATGAGGAAGAGGATCCTACAGTGAGTGACCACTTGTGTTCTAACCCCGTTTTCATCATTCTCTAAGGCCTAGTAGCAAAGAATTGAGAATCGAGTCTTTTTTCCATAGTGAATTCAGCCGAGAGACGCAGAAGTAGTAGAAAAATCAGCTGGCTGCAAATTGGTCGAACCCTGGGTTTTTGCTGGCAGGTGAGATGGCAGATGAGGAAGAGGATCCTACAGTGAGTGACCACTTGTGTTCTAACCCCGTTTTCATCATTCTCTAAGGCCTAGTAGCAAAGAATTGAGAATCGAGTCTTTTTTCCATAGTGAATTCAGCCGAGAGATTTCGGGGACTTACCTGTTGGCGTTCGGTGTGATAAATGATTTATTATTTTAGTACTTGGGGCAGGACGTCAAGGGAGAGTAGAAAAGTGGCTCCTTTCTCTTTGGTTTTAGTATAGATTTTCCAGAAACCCTTTGAAACACCTAGAGAGTCATTGGTCATAGTATTTGCTAATAGACTGGAAGTCAGGAATCTTGGAATTCAGATTGTTTCTCTCTCTCTGAACAAGTTATTTAATTTTGAGCATCCATTTTCTTGTCATAAAATAGCAACGTAAGTTTTTCACACTATAAACAGGTGCGTAGTAAATACTAATTTTACTTACTGTAAGGAGTAAACTGGCTTAATATCACATCTTTAACGATAACACGATCTAGCAAGGTGACAGCGTAGTTGGATTAAAACCACAAAGCCTGCCGCGGTGACCTATTGCCTGTGATCCCAGAACTGCAGGGGAAGGCAGGATCTCGTGTTTGTGGCCACCCTGGGCTACATAGAGAAACCGTCGCAAAAAGAAAGAGAAAAAAAAAAAATCCTGCATGACTTGGAAATTGGATTAGGTTTTTGAAGACTCTTTCAGTGCTGAATTCATAATTCGTTATGCTTCTTGCTTTAGGTTTTCTACCCCAGTATCAGCATTGAAAATGAAAAAGAAAATGTTAATTACTAAAATGTGAAATGCATGCAATCCCTTAACCTTTCTGTATGTCTTTTAATTTTTAGTTTGAGGAGGAAAATGAAGAAATTGGAGGAGGTGCTGAAGGTGGACAGGGTAAAAGAAAGAGACTTTTTTCTAAAGAATGTAAGTTGTATTTGACAATGATTTTGTTACAGTGAAAGCTTTTGGACATAGTCCTTTTAAGTAAATTTATTGCTGGTCGAGGTGTACATCTGTAATACCAGCCCTCTGGAGTATGGAGGATCTCTGAATTCAAGGCCAATGAACTACAAAGTGAGAACCTGCCTCAAAAAAATTTTTTTATTATGTGTTTTCCTGTAGTGACAATATTCTTATACTTACCTATAAAATTCTGTTTAACTTTTGAACCATACTTAGTAACCATCTTACTCTAACCCTAATTATATAAAATAATAAATCATGATTAATTTTTTTTTTTTTTTGGTTTTTTTGAGACAGGGTCTCACTACATAGTTGAGACTGACCTGGAACTCACTATGTAGCCCAGGTTGGTCTCGGGTTTCGAACTCCCAGTGATCCTCCTGCCTCAGCCTCCCAAGTGCTGGGATTGAAGCCGTGTGCCACCTCGCCCGACTAACATGATTAATGTTTTAATTCAGGGCAGAGCATAACCCTGTTATTTTTCCTGTGCCTTACCTTTGCCAAGTAGATATAGGAATTCCTTTGTAAGTTACCTGTTGTAATGGATCCTGGAACAAATGCTGAGGAAAGAAACAAAATTGGGGATTATGACTAAGGCAGTGAACAGAAAGACAATGAATAGCATGAGCTATTAACAGTTCCTTCCTCAGTAGTTAGATTTGACTCTTTTTAGCCACAGTAGAAAGGAAGAGCTGCTGCTACTACTGGTTGTCCAGGGTGGCTCCTGAAGTCCTCATGAGAATGTGCTCTGCTGAGTATTGAGAGATGCAGCAACATGGATTTCTGAATATGTGTCTAGTTTAGTTAGGCTGGGTAAGATATGAGCATATCCTAAATGCTTTTAGAACTGCAGGGTTAGCGTATCTTTTTTATAGCACCCAAATCCTTTCCATATAATTTCCCACTCAAAGCTGACCACACTATTCCATCTCTGATCCAATAATTTGATTTATATGTGCTTTTACTAGTATGTCAGCATATGAAGGTGATCTCTTCATCAGAGCATCACAGAATTATACTTGAACGCTTGATTATTACAAAAGACCTCTGCTCCACTTAGATTACTGCATGTTTGTGATGACAAGAATTTGGAATGTTCACAGCTTTCTCTTAGTCTTACCAGAACTTTCATATATTTTACTGACCAAGGTCTGTTCTCCTAAACCCTCTTTTAATTTTTTTTTGTTAATATAATTCAGAATTTCAGAGCATTCACTGGCATTTGTTTATCCCTTTACAGACCCTTTAACCAAAAGTTTTTTCTCCTAATGATTCATAACATTTTGTTAAGAATATTTTTTCAACATTAACCAAAACAGTTTATATTATTCCTAAAAACTAATTAAAAATTATTTTCCAGTGAAACATGTTTTCCTATTGGTGAGTTCTAAAATATTAACAACTATTTTCCTCGCAATTTTTAAGGAAATAACAGTAAATTTATGGTGGAGAATCTGCATAGACATCACTTTAGCTAAATGATCAAAGTCAGCATCACCAGTTAGATACATTCACATCATGTACCCTGATGTAGTGCATGTCATCTCTCTATCCTTTCTAATAATGTGTGACCTCTAGCCTGGCATGGTGGTGGGTGTGGTGGTACACGCCTGTAATCCCAGCACTCGAGGCTGAGGCAGGAGGATCACTGGGAGTTCACCAGCCTGGGCTACATAATGAGTTCCAGGTCATTCTCAACTACATAGTGAGACCCTGTCTCAAAAGAGAAAAGAATCCGTATGAATCCCATCTGTCCTAAACTATGAAGAAGTAACTACTACTGCTGCTGTGGGCCAGAGTAAAGACTGGAACCAAATCAACTAGATTCACATTCAGGCTCCTCCATCTCTTACTAGCTGTATGACCCTGGGTAAATCAGTTAACTCATTGCTTCAGTTTTCCTTACCTGTAGCACAGGAAACATAACAATATCTGCTTCAGAGGATTTTTGTGAGGATAAGAGTTTTATACATAAAGTCTTTAAAACAGTACTTAGCATGTAAGGGCTATTAGCAGTTATTGTTGTCACTCTGCATTTGATGGTCCTTTTTTGCATATTCTGTGTTTCCTCCCTGAAACCAGAAAGGGCTTCGTGGCAGATGCATTTAAAATGTCAAGATTATTTGGAATAAGCCCTCTCCCTTCTCTTTTTCTTTTCTTTTTTTGGTACCAGAGATTGAACTCATGACCTTGCACTTACCAGACAGGCATGGCGCCACTGAGCTACATCTCTGGCCCCTGCCTTCTCCTCTTGATTCCCCTATTTGTTACCATAAGAGGGTAATTGAAGCACTTTCTGTCCTGTCTTTGCAGCTGTAGTCATTTCAGAGATTCTTCTGCTTCCTGTTTTCCATGCCCCACTGTCTCCGCACCCACAGAAAACTCCCAGGAAATGCTAAGCATTGCTAACCATGTCCCTGTCATAGTCTCCTCTTAAAGAGGATTCCCAGGGGTTGCTGATAAATAGATGATAGAGATTAGAAAATCAATATTCATGTTAGTATTCAGTACTGGGAAGGAAGGAGAGTTTTGTTGGAGGCTAGATGATAAGATTGTCCATAAGGCTGCAGTTAAACCTTTTACAACAGTCTATACTGGAGACAATGTAAATATGTTTTTAAACCAGTATTGTCTATAACTTGGTTCCATTCTAGTTGTTGTGAAAAAAGTGTTGGTGACATTGTTAAATCTGTTAATGTGAAGAAAAGTAATTGTTTCTTTACAGTGCGATGTATGATGTATGGGTTTGGAGATGACCAGAATCCTTATACCGAGTCAGTGGATATTCTTGAAGACCTTGTCATAGAGTTTATCACTGAAATGGTAAGATTCTTTTATAACTATTACTGTTTTTTGGAGGGTTTGTTTTGTTGTAAATGGTCTTAGATAATTGAAGAAAAAGTTTAAAATTCTAAGCTTTAGATATGACTAAAATTTACAGCATCCTTTTGAAATAAACTATCCAGGGCCAGGGATTTAGCTCAGGGGTTCGGTGGCCTGCCTTGCAAGCGCAAGGACCCGAGTTCAATCCCCGATACCAAAAAAAAAAAAAAAAAAAAAAAAAAAAAAGAAAAAAGAAAGAAATAAACTATTCAATTGTGTACCTATTTTGTGAAAGTTCCTAGTTATTATTTATCATTAAGGATAAAGATTATATAAATATATTCCACCTTCTCATGAGTTATTTATAAAGACAGAATTGTAAGATTTTGAACTAAAATAATTTTGCCCATAATCTCATAATGTTTTTCTTCTTCCTCTTCCAATATTTTCTTAAAGTTACATACATTTGTATCCAAGTGTCCCTTCCAAAGAAAATTTAACAATTAAAAATGACCAGACAAGGGCAGAGGATTTAGCTTAGTGGCGCCATGCCTGCCTTGCAAGCCCAAGGTCCTGAGTTCGATCCCTGGTACCACACACATGCACAAAAAAGACAGGGTAGTACCTGCCCATAATCTTAGCACTTGGGAGGCTAAAGCAGAGGGGTTGCAAGTTCAAGTCCAGCCTGAACTACACGATAAGATCTTGTCTCAAAATACCAAGAAAAGGGGATTGAGCTCAGTGGTGCTGCCACCTGCCTTACAAGCAAGCATAAGGTCCTGAGTTCAATCCTGGGTACCCCAAAAATGGTCAACATACCAAGAAAATATTTTTTTCCATCTACAAAAGTAATTCTCAATCAATTAGATGTAATTTAGAATGTATAAAAAAGTACAGAGAAGAAAACAAACTGCCAGGGGTGGTGGTACGCACCTGTAATTCCTGTAATTCTAGCCCTGGGAGGTTTAGCTAGACCAAGAGTTGAGGTCAGCCTGAGCAACATAGTGAGTTCAAAGTAAGCCTGAAAAAGACAACTTATGCTAATATTTTGATGAATATGATTTTATCTTTTTGTACTTTTGTTTCTTTGTTTGTTTTGGTACCAGGGATTAAACTCAGGTCCTTGAGCTTTAGAGGCAAGCAGCAGAACCACTGAGCTAAATCCCCAGCCCTGTAATGTTTTTAATGACTTCATAATATTAATTGAGTGAATATACTCAAATTTGTTTACTCACTGCCTTAATATGAAATATTTAGTTTCCTTTTGGGGGGGTGGGTACCCAGGGATCAAACTCAGGACCTTGCCCTTGCATGTCAGGCATGGTGCCATTGAACTAAATCCCTGGCCCTAGTTGCCATTTTTTAGTCATTAGAAGTAATGCTATGATAAGCTTTTATTTTTGTACAGGTTGAGTATATGATGATAGGGGATGAGGTTTGGTTCTAAGAAACCCCACTGATATTTATTGGTTGTTGGGATGGAGGACTCAAAGCATAAATGTAATTGGGTGGTTGAAAAGAACTTATAAATATGCCTTATACGAGCCCCGTACGATGGTGTACACCTATAATCTTAGCAATCTGAGTTGACAAATTAGGATTGCAAATTCAAGGCTAGACTGGGGACTGGGCAACTTTGCAAGACCCTGTTTCAAAAAAGTGGGGTGGGCTGGGAATATAGTTCAGTGCAAAGGCCCTAAATTCAGTCCCCCTAGTACCACCAAAAATTAAAAAACAATTTTTTTAAAAATAATTTTATACAGATGAAAAAAAATCTGTCAGGCTAGGGTAGAAAATTGATAGAACATATGTTTGGCATGTATGAGGTGCTGGCCTCAAAAGCCAATACCAAATTTAAAAAAAAAAAGAATATATTAAACAAAAAGGAGCAGGTGTGGTGTCACACACCTGTAATCCCAGCACTCCAGAGGCTAAGGCTGGAGGGTTGCCACAAGTTCGAGGCCAGCCTGGACTACATAGTGAGTTCAAGGCCAGCTGGAACTACATAGCATGACCTTGTCTCAAAACAACACAACAAAATAAAAAGCCAATGAATAAAATGTCCTTTGTATTTACAAAAAAATGCCTATGAAGCATAAAGAAACATTTCTAATTACCTAGTGTATAATGGCCAAAGTAGAAAGACACTTCACAAATGAGTAGGTATAATAATTAGAAGTGAAAATCTTCAGCCTAGCCAGCAATTAATAAATATAAATTACAACAAAATGTTGATTTTTAAAAATTGAATTTGAACAGATGGAGTGAGGGGGCAGAAGTGGAGGGCGAGGGGATGTAAAAAGAATTAAGAAGTGTTATGTATATGTACCAACTTCCCATAATGAATATAATTATTATGTATTGCAAACATGTACTAGTAACAATTGAAAACATTGAACTCAATGTTTCTTTGTAATAGACTCACAAGGCAATGTCCATTGGAAGACAAGGTCGAGTACAAGTCGAAGATATCGTCTTCTTGATTCGAAAGGACCCGAGGAAATTTGCTAGAGTTAAAGACTTGCTGACTATGAATGAAGAATTGAAACGAGCTAGAAAAGCATTTGATGAAGCAAACTATGGGTCTTGACACCTTGTGTATTTTCTGAAATGTCATTTTCTATGGAAACCATATATGTTTATTTTCTGTAGTATTGTCCTGATGCTTAGGCATGTACATGAGAGGAAGAAACACAAGTTTTCAGCCTTTATTTTCATGTCTTTGTTTTTAGAGCATTTGGTTCCAGCCCTTAATTGCCTGCCTTTATGTGACCATACTTGAATTACTTACTAGATTTTAATGACTACATATAAGTTATAACTGCAAACCATGAAGTTCCTTCTGCCTTTGGACTGTCTGAAGAATAAACTTGTATTATATATTAGATATATTCATGCCATTATAAGCTGTATGCTAGCTGTTGAATAAGTAAAATCTCAGTGGCCTTTTTGACTGACAGCTAAGGCATGTACTTCATGTATTCTGAAGTTTTTAGACAGCAGTCATCATTTTTGTGTGTAAGGAGAGGGTGTAGGAAATTACAAGTTTTTGTAAGAAAATTTGTTTTACTATCTTTTCTAAAGATAATTTTTTTTTTTTTAGTGAGGTTATTGGTACAATCTAGGTATACAATGCAATTACATTCATCATTGGGATTCTGTACCTTTACATAATAGGTCTTGATTCTCATTTTTCCCCTTGTCCCTGCCCTCCCTTCAC